CACAAATTATAATAATAACTTTGTTTTCAAAACTTCCACTGCTGTTCGGCAGAGTGGTTTTTTCGAGTGCTCTATTTTTGGATGTGTTTACATTTTAAAGTCTTTAACGAAATAGCTTGAGGTGGGAGAACTGTGTGTTTCAGGTTGGTCATTCAGAATTATGTCTGTATTTTTTAATTTATTAATTTCCCTAGATTCTAATGAAGTTAGCTTAAGCCCTTTATTTTGGATATGAAGAATTTGAAATTCGTCACTAAAAGACGATTATGATTCAGAAGGTTAAGTGTGTATCTAGAATCTGTTTTTCCATTATTCAGAGCCCTTTTATGTTCTGCTATACGTTTGTTAAAGGTTCTACCATGTTTGACCGATGTAAGTTTTTGGGCAGTAGCACAATTAAGTTTGTATACACCACTGTGTAAGTGTTTTTTTATTTTGGCTCTGCTTTACTTTTGGCAAAAAGTAAGTATTTATTGAACAAAATATTTCTAGCCAAAATTGAACCTATAAAAATTCAAAAATTTTTGAACTTATGAAGTCTGTAGATCAGACAGAATCAGAGTTGTAGCTCATAAAAACTAGGTTCTTATTTGTCAAATTCTACATCGAATATTTCAACGTGAGATATCCAAAAACTGTAACACTTTTCGGGAAAAACTCATTAAAACCTTTTGAATTTGTTTAAAAAAGCTTTATTTTTGTTTTTGTTTTTTCTTTTAGTTGCTAGCATCAAAAATAATGGGCACAAAATGGTCCTTTTTTGGTAAAAACATCGTAAAAATCGTATTGCTTATACGATATATAGGTTTCAACAGTTCAAAGTGCTTATTAAAAAAAAAGATTGGTTTCAAAGTAAAAAATATTTTTTTTGTATCAGTTTAAAGACAGGTAATAAACTATAAGTTTAGTCTGCAATATAAAATCTTGATATTCTTGTATTGTTTATAATTACATTCTTCAATAATAAAAATTATTTTCATTTAGAGTAATTTTAGAAAGAAATGTAATTGATTCTTACTATATTCCCGCCTCAAAATAAACTAGTAGTTGCAAAATTCCAGTATAGAATATGACCAACCCAATATTGCGATTCGCACCATGATGATTTATTATTCAAGGTTTTTGAATGCTGGCACCCACTTTCGTTAATTTCAAAATTGCTTACGAAGCAAATTCAAATTCAATCACAGCTGATTTAGGTCACGTTGATATTTAAATGTTATAAATATGTTTTGCTAAGCTTTTGGTCTCAAAATAACTAGATTAATTTTATACACTTTTATTTTCAACACAGTTTTTACTCCTGTTTCATTTTCAATATTATATTTCTTGTTAATATTGGTTTCGTATGGTTCATTTGTTAATAAAATAACAGGTACGTAGCAGAGTACATTTTTTTCTTTCCATTAACAACAATTTCAAATACAGATTCGAAATTGATTTCTGATGAATCCTGATTATTCTTCATTATTGTTGACCAGGTTACCTTTGATTTGAGAATAGTCAACGACTAATTAATCAGAGATTATTATAAGGGTTTACAAAAATGGGATATTATAATGAAGAAAGAATAGAATTAGTTAAGCTACCATAGAAATCATCTCTGTGCTAAGGCTACAGGCAAGGATCTTTAATACAAACGTCCCAGAAAAAAACGTAAGTCACCAATATTTTACTGATAAGTTTGAAGTTGCAGGTGACGCTAACAACACGAAGTAGAACGTCGAGTGCGAAATGAAGTGGCGGTTTTGGGTCATTTTCAAATGGTTAATCGACAAAATATCAGAAAATTATGGCGATATCAAATTATTATATATGAGATTATTATTATATCAGACAACTCTCCTCGTGCATCTGGTGTATCAGCATCTATTTATCTAATTAGCCTTCTTCGGTCCATCTTTGGACATAGGCCTCCCCAATCCTTTTCCATTCTTCTCTGTCTGTCGCTACAGTCATCCACATAGAGCCGACGTGCTTCTTGATATCATCTGCCCATCTCATTTGAGGCCTTCCTCTGCTTCTTTTATATTCCCACGGTCTCCAACTTATAAAAATTTCTTGTCTAACATCCCTCACTTTTGTTTTCTCTCTTATCCACTCGTTTTTTTTTATCTATTAGTCTTATGTGCAACATTTGTCTTTTTATTGCTCTTTGGGTTTTTATGATTTTGTCCATGTTTGCTTTTGTAAATGTCCACGTTTGGGAACCATAAGTAAGAACAGGGAGTACGCATTGATTGTATACTTTGGTCTTAAGATGCTGTGGATATCTTTTGTTTTTAAGAATGTAGCTTAGTTTGCCAAATGACGCCATGCCAGTCTAACTCGTCTCTTTATCTCTGCTGTTTGGTTCTCTTTTGTTAAGTTTTATAGTTTTATAGTTTATATAATATATTATAATATATATATATATATATATATATATATATATATATATATATAATCCTGAACTTGTTCTATTGCATCTTGTCCGATTCTCATTGTGATGTCTTTATTTGTATTTGTTATGGTTTTGGTCTTGCTGTAATTCATATTAAGGCCTATCTTTTCAGCTTCCACGTCCAGTTCTTTCATCATTTTAAATAACTCTTCTTTTTTATCAGTTATCAATACGATATCATCAGCGTACCTTAGATGGTTCAAGCGTTGTCCACAAATTTTTATACCTTTTTCTTCCTATTCTAATCTTTTAAAAGTATCATTATTGAATGTGATATTCATTTGCTCGTTCTATAAGTATTTTTATACTTAGTAAATGGTCACTTGTGCTGAATCCCTTTCTAAAACCAGCTTATTCTTTCGACTGGTATCTATCGAATTTTGTCGTCAATCTATTGGTTAAAATTTTTGTTAGGAGTTCATACATTACATTGAGAAGTGTAATAGGATGGTAGTTTTTTATATCTGCTTTCTCCCCTTTCTTGTGTAGGAAAATGGTTACTGATTCTTTCCAGTTGTTTGGGATTCTGTTTTCTTTTAATACATTGTTAAAAAAAGGGGATGTAGAGTATTAATTATCACTTTTCACCATATTTCAGCATCTCTGCAGTTATTCCATCTTTTCCAGGCGATTTGTTGTTTTTCTTGGAAAACCAACTGGAGTTTGTCCTAGTTTGCCAACAGAGTGTGCTTACACAGAAAAAAATCCCTATTAATTCGAAAAAATTGACATCAAGAAACTGGTACAATATATGCCAGAAGACCATTTTTTTTTTATAATGAGCTGATTTTATGGCCTATCACTAATAGTGATGAACACCAGAAGATTGTTACTAAAAGACTATTTCTTAACTTTCAACATGTTTTTTTGCCACCTAATAAATTTTTTCCTTAATAATATTGTTTTTCTATTATTAATAAAAAAAATCATCAGTGTTTGAAAATCAGTTTGTTTGGAAAAAGCCACACACAAAAACTAAATTATTATTTACAGCATACCTATGTCCTTTTATGTTGGATTTGTTAATTAAACTTCGTCATGCATCACATTTTGAGATTTTACTCCGAAAAGAGAAAGATATCTTTATTAATACCAAAATGAAACGTTTTTTTCGTTTTCTATAAAATTAACATTTCTGAAGTTGTGGCCTTTTCCGAAATAACCGATTCAATTATCTTCAAAAATATTCTGAAAACAAAAATATTCCCAAATTAAAAAAAAGTCTCATATAGAAAAAAACAATAACTTGTAATATGTTACTCGGCTACACTCGCTATTTAAAAAAAAACTGGTGGTTGATGCGGGGCAGTAAGGGGTTACATTTGAAGGCATGAATTTTGCACAAAAACTCGTCTCCTTCCCAATACAAATTGAAGTACACACTGTAGAGGACCGTCCTTACTCCAATACCTCTCCACCGCGCTCCAAAGCTCCAGACCTTTCTATTTCTTTCCTATAGCCCTATGATGTGCTCCTATCGCGAGTTATATGGGGGAAAGGGATAATCTGAAGTATTAAAGCGCAATGAAGTGATTCCTGTTTTACACAAATTAATACAAATGAATTGTTGCATCTCAACGTCTCCAAAAGGGGGTGAACAAGTCTCACAAGTTGGAGTGAGCAATCAAATTGCTTACTCCAATAACTCTAAACAGTACATATTTCAGTCTTTAGAAACTGATATTTAAAATCGCCGGTCTCTTCAAGCGTTTTTTCTGAGAGAATGGTTTATTCTACACGAAAAGTGCTAATTAACATTTTTGTTAAAAATTATCATAGCTACTGTTTCTTGCGTCAATTTTTTTTTCTACGGCATACAGATTCTTGGTGATTCGAAGATTTTTTTTCTGATACGATGAGAAATCCCGGAAATTGACACCCTTAGCAAAACCTAGCTTTTTCGTATTATTTTTAGAGGTTCAGTGGCATTTGCCTCTCTGACGACTGTGGTAATAGTACAGTACAAAGAATTATTTTAGCAAAGACATATAAAATGTCCTCAGCTCGCTACATCAACTTTATCAATTTCCTATATCAAACCAGGCATTTCCAAGAAATTTAGAAAACGATATGTAGTTTAGAATATAAAAACTATTATTTGTAGCAATAGTTATTGTAGTATATAACTGTATAATCTTGTAATATAATGTAACACACTTGTATTTTCTGTGTTACAGAAACGTAAATCTAAATAAAAAAATCACGTTAATAAAACACATCATGATACAAAAAAATTGTTTTAGAACTGAAGTATTGCTAAAGTGAATATTAAAATGAAAATAGGAGTAAATTTAGGTTTGAAAAAAAGAATAATATATCATAAAAATAATCAATGCATTTAACGCTATGAATCGATCCAATCTATCTCATCCTATTAATATCAGCCTTAGGTGCATTATAGCCACTACTGATAAGAGAGGTAGATCTTGAACATCTTATTCTAAATTATACCAAAATCACATTCATTCTATGCTGACTTTGATTCTTCATAAAATATGTACAACGTTCTGACATCAGAACCAAAATTATCTTTATCCTACAAACTAAGCTTAACTAACTAACTTAAGGCCATTAGAGGTTCCTCTAGTTCTTTAGCCTTTAGTTTTTTCAGACTCTTCTGCATATGCTTTTTTTCTGGTTGAAGTAAAGCAAGTTTCCTTTTTGATTTGGAAAGTTTTCTTTCAAGAACCGTTTCAGTAGTAGGATGCTCTAAATCGATAAGCGTCAAACTTTCGATAATATTTCTTGGTACAGGTCTTGTAGCTACTTTTTCTTCTTTGGTATCATCTTTTTTATTAGTATCATTCTTTTTGGGAGCATATACGACAACATACTGTGAGTACGATCTGTCATTTGGTGTATTAATATCTGCAAAATCTCTAAAATTAGCAAATTGCTCGTGTTGATATGGTTTAGGATTCGACTGAGCTGCATAATAATAAGCTGGTCTACCATGGCCGTTTTGGAAGAAGGAATCATAGTTATTATAGTTGGAATTTTCATCGTTGTCGTTATAAAATGTTCCTCCTGGAATAACTCCAAAGTTTCCTGATCCTAAGACAGCAGCGTAGTCGTTCTTTGGTGCATTATAGTTGTACTCATCCTTATAACCACTGAACCTGTCAAAAGAAAATTTATGTTTAATATAATTATCAAAAATGGTTAAATATTTAATACAAATAACACATTCCACATCGTAATAGCTTAAATATTGTTATAATCTCTTCGCAATCGAGACGAAATGATAAATCAAAATTTAAAGGAAATATATACATAGGAAATACCTATGTATTTTAATAGAGTCTAAAAGACAACTACTATATCATTGATAAAAAATTATATACTAAACAAAAGTATTATACAATGAACAATAATCGAAAATATGAGTAACAGTTAATAGTGTATTATAGTTTTTACATGTTGGTGTATTAATCCTTTTAAGTATATGAGCATGGGTAGTTTGCTATGGCCTATGCATAAACGGGCCAATGTCACCGGATTTCTCGTATTTAAGATCGGTAGAATCCAAGTTTCACTTTGCCGATTAATATTTTTATTTGATTTAAAAGACGGGCCGGACTAACGTTTTTTATAGTTTGTGCATGTTTAGCAGTGTCGTTTATTATTACATCTTGGCTATCTACTAGCCCGTTGCAAATGGTTTTTTCTTATAAAGTTCAGTTATAGGCTAAGTTCATTGTTAGCTGCATTTAGGTCGCATATAAGTTCTTGCAGTTCTGAAGGATTATTAGCAATCAGACCGATGTTGTTAGATGGCTGAGGTATTCTTTATCAATGGATAGGCCTTTGTATTGCCAGTTGCAGTCTAGAGTTGCAGTGAAGAGCTTTGGTGATATTGCGTCTCCTTGTCGGACTCTTCTGTTATTGGGAAATTCAGGAGTGTTTTCATAATTGTTTACCTTAGCTTTTGCTTGTCTGTATATATTTGCTAAAGTCTCTAGGTACGGTTTATCAATGCTTTAGTTGGTCAAAGCTTTTATTACTGCCTTGGGATATATAGAACCAAAAGCCTTCTTGAAATCTATTAAGTTGAAAGTTAAGGCTAACAGTATTTCTTATTCTTTAAAGCTTACTCATCAGTTCTCGAAGCGTATGAATATGATCGAGGACACTAAATCAACTTCTGACAGCTTGCTCTTGGTTGTGCAGCACTTAATGCATTTGTTAAACTGTTGTTGGTAATCTTTGTGAATACCTTGTATATTATTGGTAGCAGACTTATAGGTCTGTAGTTTTTGAAATTCTCTTTGCTACCTTTCTTATGAATCAGAATTATAATTGCTGTATTTCAGTGGTCAGGCATGCCTCTTGATCTTTTCAAGTTTGCAAATATGCCTGCTAAGATTTTCCTATTTTTTTGCCTGTATATTTAGGCAGTTTAACTGTTATGTCATCTATTCCATCTGCTTTAACGCTTCTCATTTTTGTAATTGTTGATTCTCCTTTTTCTGGAAGAGCTTCTGGTGCATTCTCTTTGGTTATTGATTCCTTTTTTAAGTGTTTCAGTGGCTTTTTATACTTCGCTGTAAAATTTAGTCACGAGTTGTAATATTTCATTTCTGTCTGTAATTCTGGTATTTTCGTTTGTTAGAGCAACGATTTGCTTCTTCCAAATGATTAATGCTTTATTTGTTTTCGTATAGTTTTTTCTGGTTTTGACTGAATGTTCTACAAGTCTTTCATTGTATTTTCTTATGTCTTTTTTAATACATACTTTTCCTTATTGTCTTACAAAGTTCTATGTATTGTATTTTCGCTGGTTGCTCCCATTTCTCTTCTTTATTTTTGCATTATTTTGGTTTGATCAGACAGTTTTTTATGTTTATATTGTTGTTGCAGGCGTTCGATTTCTTTGACATTATCAAAGATGATTTGTCCTTGATATTGTCCTTTGGTAGTTATCTAATTTTTCCTTTAGATTGGTTCTGAAACTACTTTTTTGTGGCATGGTACAGCTAAATATTATGTTTTTTATGGAATTAAGCCACAATTATTGGTTGTGATTGAAATGAAAATCACATTTTAAATTAAATTATTGTTGACGTTTTGAGTTCCACTGCTAAAACCGTTATGAAAAAAGAGGTTTTTTGATGCAAATTAGGTAAAAATGTGTATAACCAAAGACTTGATAACCACATTGGATAATCAATAACAAAATCTTTGGTTATATACATTTTTATATAATTTGTATAAAAAACTCTTTTTTTCAGAACGATTTCCTTAGTGGAATTCGAAACGTCAAATATTAGCTAATCAAAAATGTGATTTTTATCAAAATCACAACCAATAATTGTGGCCTAATCCCATAAAACTATAATATTATCTTTTAGATTGTTAATAGTAATACCGGTTACTGTTGGTTTTGTGATTAATTTTATTTTTTCCAGTTTTAGATCTAAGACAATTTTTGCGTTGATTAGTCTATAGTCGTTGCCTTTATTTGAAAGCAAAACCTGCTAACCATTTGATAAATTAAAAAGTCAAATATATGGTGAAAGAGGACAAATTCGTCAAACTTCTCGTGTTTAAGTCGGTATCAATACAGTGTTATAACGTGTTTTAGCATCCCTGCTTCGTCAAATACTCTAAGGTTGGACAAAGCAACAGAGTATATGATCTATCAGATTAGCAAAGCCAAATATATATCGTACAAATTCGACAAACTTCCCGTGTTCGAATATGACGTCAGCAGTAGTTTGGATGACTGAAGTGGAGTTCTTGCGTATTTCATTTTTTATGCAAAACCATCAAAAGAACCGCTTGTAATGCTTTTGTTGAATAATCAAAATTTCTACTACCCATTGTTGATATTGGTTTTAGCAAAGAATAATTGAGTTGTAATGCTTTCACCTTCGCCCCATTGTTCTCCCAAGTTACAATCCTGAGCCGCATTAGTGTTTGGGCCATTTAAAAATATTTATAGTTCAAATTGCTATTCCACTAGGGTTAACTCCCAACAACATTTCAAATGGTTGCAAAAAAAAGATTTCGTACTTAACCAAAAGGTTTTTAAGGACAACTCCAAATTTTGTGACAGACAGATTAGTTCAGGATAATAAGCAACTCCCTTACACTTCTGTGCTACAGAGATACAACCAGCTGTAATAATTTATTTCCAGCCATCTGCGACTCTTGAACCTCAGCCATCTATCTTACCAAGTTCATAGAGTCTATTACAGCTGATAATAAATATCATTAAAGCTGATAAAACTCATTTGTTTACCTCTTTACCTTTGACATCAGTCAAAGATGCATTGTTATCTTCTACATCTAGTGTTGGCACATAACCTCAACCATCAATATCTCCCGTGGTTCCGTATTTGTGTACTGAGCCTCAGCCGTTCACCTTACTTAAACATATTGTTTTCTCCAGAAGTTATCAGGTCTTTCTCCAAAGTTGGAGCTTGCAAAATTATCAACAGAAATGATGCAAGATAGTCATATTAACAGATACCCCGGAAAAGAAGTACTGTCATTGGAACTGCAAAACAAGAAACAGAAGGGAGTGGTTCGTTTAAAAAAGTCTTTATTCAAAGAAAAAATAAGTTAAAGAAAAAGTTTTAGCCGAGAAAAGTTAGGAAAGTTCGAGTTCAGAAGAAGAGTAATACTTTTGTTTAGTTTGCTATGAGTCAAATTTAGTCAGCATATCTGGAGAAGACCAAGTGCAATGCTTTACTTGTAAGTAAGAGAGTTGGACCAATGACAAGTACGTTAAATGGTTTTGGCCGTCTTTAACATATATCTGTAATAATTGTGGTTCTGACGAGGACTGAATTACTTAATTTTTTTGGGCTAAATTTATATGTTATATAACTAAAAATATATGTTTTTAAGTTAATTGTACATAGAATTGTGTAGATATTAGACCAAAAATCAAACTAAAAATATATTAGTAGGATCGAAATAATGCTGTATCATAGTTTTAGCTTAGTAACAAATGGTACATATTAATAGTGAATATCTGATATTGTTTCTTAATAAATGTAACAAACGGTGAATTTTTCGAAATAAATGTAAAGAACTGCCCATTAAACTCAATCACATTTTATTTGTATGCTATAATCAACCAAAATCTGCTATTTATTTATAATGTTCTTTTTCACCCTACCATTGGTCTTTGTTGCCCCTATAGAAAGGCTTAAGGATCAGTCGAACTGACTTTCTAAGTCTTCGGTGTCTGGCACACAAAAATGAGCGAAACAATTTTTTAGATATCATGTTTAAATGAAGGATTACGCAACTCGCTTCTATTTGGTTCTTTTTCTTTTTTTAACCTTATAGTTAAATAGTTGACCCATTGACCCATCTTATTCTACTTACAGCTATTAACAGCAACTCAAAATAGATTAGTCGAGCACTAGAAGATAAGAAATACGGCTATATTGCCATATTTTGCCTACCTAATGGATCTATTGACATTTGTCGATTACGAGAAGACTTTTAACTCTGTAGAGTTTGATAGTTTGAAATAGTACTGAAAGCACTAATGCAAAGCCGAACAGATTACAGGTATACGTTATTAATCAAAAAAATATATGAGAACAATACATCAAGTATACGATTAACGAAGATACAGAAAAATTCATCTTAGGTCGAGGAGTAAGACAAGGAGATATTATTTCATCAAAATTTTTCACGGCAGCTTTTAAAGCCAATATTTAAGAACACTCAATAAGCATCAAGATCAAGAATGCACATAACCACAATCATTCTCATAAAGCCTCCTTCGCCTTTTGCTGGGATGCTATGTAACCTATTCCGAACCATTTTACTATGGCATGTTCCAATTGTTAAAATAATTTAATAATTGTAAAATTATATTATAACAAGGATTTTTGATTGGAAAAAATCAAAGTCATAATAATAATAGTTATTCTATGTACCAAAGTATTTGGGTATTATTTTATAATAAGTTATTAATTACAAAGTACCTTGCTGAATTATCAAAAGTATTTTGATAAGGTGTCCTCTGACTATATGCTCCTTCCTGTTGGTTATAGTAGAATGGCCTGGAATGTCCTAATGGTTGGTTTTGGTATGGAGAAAATGAGGGATAAAAGGAATTTTGACTGGCTGCTTTATTATCAGTTTCATCTGAAAAGGCTTCATCCCTGTCGTTTGATATATCATGTAGATCTTTTATGTCAATATCTGGACTACCTGAAATAAAATTTAAGTTTAAAAGTACAAACTACTAATAATTAACATCTTATTTTTACTTAGTTGTTTATATATTCATTGGTTTACCGAAGACGATTACTATAGGAAAAAAATATTTGTGTTTCATTATTATTCTATTTTAATGGCTTATATTAAGACGAGACTTGGTCTTGCACCAATACACCTGGTCTTGGTCTTGGTTTTGGTATTGAGCTCCCAGTCTTGGTCTTGGTCTTGCAGCAATAGTCTTGCAAGTCTCGCAGTTACCCATTAGCCTCTTGCTATTTATTAAGCGTTACTTTAGATCTAGAAAGACCAACCAAATTAATGAATGTCTAAGCAACTGACACCGGATGATGGTTTGAATCCACGTTCTAAGCGATCCATGAAATGTCAACATCACATCAAACAGAGAACATATGTTACAAATTGTGGAATCATTCTATGAGATATTATATAGCAACCAATCGACTCTAGATATAGTTGAATATCAACAAAGGAAGGTTTAAAATCAGGGTTCCAAAGATATCCCAGAAATCTCCTTGGACGAAATTTAAGGCTCTAAAAAAAAAAGAATAACAAAGCTCTGGGGGAGGACAGTGTCGTCACGGAAGCGATAAAGATAGGAGGCTCAGTACTGATAGCCAAAATTCAAAAGCTCTTTAATCTACGCCTATGGAATCAAAATATCCCAACAAAGTGGAATAATTCAATAACTGTACTCTTACACAAGAAGGGAGATATAGCAGAATATGAAAGATACAGACCAATCAGTCTCCTTAACCATCTTTATAAATTATACACCCGAATAATAACGAACAGATTAGAGACAAAGCTGGATTTTTACCAACCTCGGGAACAAGCTGGTTTTCGCCCTAATTACGGCACAAACGATCACCTGCAATGCCTAAAAACCCTGATAGAAAAAACTAACGAATATAACCGTCCCTTGGAATTGATATTTGTAGATTTTAAAAAGGCGTTTGATATAGTGGAACTACCGTCCATCTTAAGAGCACTACAAGATTGCAGGGTCGACCATAGATATTGTAATATAGTCAAAAATATATACGAAAATGCCACAACAACCATAAGTCTACATTCTGCAACTACTAAAATAAATATAAAAAGGGGAGTCAGGCAAGGTGATACCATGTCACCAAAGCTGTTCATTACCGTTCTTGAGTATACATTTAAAAAACTAACATGGTAAGAAAAAGGAATATCCATCGATGGAGAAAGATTAAACCATCTACGTTTTGCGGACGATATCGTGCTTCTGTCAGATAATCTGGGAGAGATCAAAGACATGCTCCAAGAACTGAATGACATACTACAAGAAACTAGGCTCGAGATAAATTTCGAGAAAACCAAAATGATGACCAATATGGTTCCCAGCGAAGAGATACAGATTAATAACAAAAAGGTCGAATTAATCGATAAAAGCACATACTTGGGTCATGAAATTAAAATAACCAGAGATAACCAAACCTTTGAGCTAAATAGACGAATCACGTTGGGATGGGCGGCATATGGAAGGATGAGAGACATTTTTAAAACAAATATCCCAATTCACCTGAAAAGAAAGGTATTTAACCAATGCATCTTACCAGTCTTGACCTATGGAGCACCCTAACTTTAACGAAAGCTACTGCCAAAAAACTGAGTGTTACACAAAGGCGAATGGAGAGATCAATGCTGGGCCTGACCTTGAAATATTGCGTGAGAAATGAGGAGATACGCCGACGAACTGGCGTAGACGATATTATACTGCGAATCAATAAACAAAAGTGGAGGTGGGCTGGACATGTTGCTAGAATGGAAGACGGAAGATGGACGAAGAGATTATTGGAGTGGAGACCAAGAGCCGACAAGCGAAGTCAAAGCAGACCACCTACCCGATGGACTGACGACCTAAGGAGAATAGAAACAAACTGGATTGCAGCAGCTAAAGATAGAGAGAACTGGAGACGTTTGGAGGAGGCCTATATCCAACATTGGATGTGAAAATGGGGCTGGATGATGATGATGATGATGTACTTTACAAAAATATTTATTGTTTCAATTTTTGAAGATATTCTTCTAAAATAAAAAACCCTTTTTTTAGATGTTCTCATTTAAAGTCCTAAACAGGTTTTCATTCTTGATTTTGGGGTACCCTATATATGTTAAAGTTGTTAAAAATTTTGAAATATTTTAAAAAATTTTCACTCTTTTTGTATGGGGCAACTGTAAATTATCATCAAAGACAGTAATCGAGGTTATATTCCCGCAGTCTATTTTCATGAAAATACATACCTCAGAGTATATTACATAACCAAAGTCAAATACCATGCAAATTAAAATACCGATTTAGTATAATTTTTTTGTCATATGGAAGAGAGCACTGTTACAGCAGAGTGAAAGTAAGAATGTATTTAAATATGAAAAAAGTCAGATAAACTGATCGCTACCGTAATCTTTAATAACAATCTAATCAATATCGTACTTTCAAATGCCTCTCACAAATTTAGACCAAACGAAAGAAGATGCCAATTTCGATTAACACAGAAAAAAATATGTTTCCGGCGTTTCATGCTTATTACAGCTTTAGATTGTGCTCCTATTATTAAAAAAATACGTAGGTACGTTTGGTATATACATAAGATATAATTGAGACCTATTGTTAAAAGTTACACAATGTAAAAGTGTTTAATCTACTACGAGCAGTTGAACAAATGGATCAAATTTAGTTAATATATTTGTCCGATGTTTGATAGCAATTTGTTTTCTAAATAAATTAATAAAAAATCTACCCATTATGGTATCAGTGCACTAAGTGTTTTCGAACAAGTAGATACGATAACGAATATACTTAGAAAAAGAGAAGAAAATTGAGAATTTTTGGTTTAACAAAAATTTTAAGTTCTTCAACTCAAAACATTTAAAGTACGAGCAAATGGAACACTATTATCAACTCAAATCCAGGAAAATGGAGTACCCCAAGGATCGGTGCTAAGTGTAACTTTATTTCTTGTTGCAATTAACGTTATCTTGGAACAATGTCAACATCCAGTAAAAGCAAGACTATATGCAGACGACCTGGTTATCCTACTAAAGGAACAAATCTAGAATCCACCCACAAGAATCCTACAAAGCGCATTAAACAATCTCCAGAAATGGTCTGACAAAACAGTACTCAGTTTCTCTAACGAAAAAAAACAAAATGCTTCCTCTTTTCAAAAAAGCAAAAAGAGGATAATCCAATTTTAACATTGAATGGTAAAAATCTGATCTTCCTAAAAAAAAATTAAGTTCCGCGGTTTTACATTTGACAAAACATTGAATTTGAAAAGTCACATTAAAAATCTAAAAGGTACTTGCCCGCAAAGCATTAATAGTTTGAAAACACTGTCGAACATCACCTGGGGCAGCGATACGGCAATTCTTCTACGAATCTTTTCATCCTTAGTTTGATCAAAAATTTGACTATGGCTCAGTGGTATATAACTCAGCCAAGAAATCTGTTTTTAAAGAACTAGATGTAATTCAAAATACGAGACTGCGAGTCGCTTTGGGTGCCTTTCGAACAAGCCCCATACTAAGTATATGTAGTTAGTTAGGGCAAAACCCTTTAGAATTTAGAAGAGATTTTTTAAGTTTGTCGTTTGCTTGTAAAGTTGTATCCTCTCTAGATAACCCAGTCTACCATAACGTTCATAGCAATCGTTTCAGCCACTATTTCTCATCTCATTTTCAATATAATCGGCCTTTTTATGAACGAATTAACCGATTACTTCAAAAATATAGCATACTATTCCTGACAATATACCATCCTTTCGAAAACCCTCCTCCTTCATGGACTGTAAATAAACCACCAGTAATCACTGACCTATCAAAATTTAATAACATGAATCCCCAGCAGCCTTATTAATAAACCACTTCAAAGATATTATGGATAAATTTACGACTACCGACAGATCTACACAGATGCACCAAAAACAACGGACGAAGTCGGCGTAGCCATTTTCTGTAATACTCATAATGCTAAATTTAGGTTGCATAACAACTGGACAATCTCCAACGCAGAACTACACGCACTCCTTGAAGCTCTAAAATTCATTAACAAAACGGACCACAGAAATTACATAATCATAACTGACTCAGGAATGCCCTTTGTGACATCCAAAACAACGTATGGTATATTAATCTGGGTTCCATCTCATATTGAAATACACGGTAACAAAGTTGTGGACCGTCTAGCTCACGAAGCAGCGACAAGTGATGATCAAGTACAATTAAATAAAAAGCCAAGTGATCTTAAATTGTGTTTAAAAAAACATAGTTAGTTGTGCGTGGCAAAACAAATGGTCGCAGTGTTCCGAAAAACTTAGGCAAATTAAAGACAATGTTTTACAAAAACAAGCCTTTGTGTTACCTAGAAACAAACAAGTCATCTTTTCTCGACTTAGACTTGGTTACACCCGCCATACACATCTTTACCGAATTACAAGAGACAATCCTCTATACTGCAACCAGTGTCAAACCAACAGTACAGTTAAACATATTTTAACCGAATGTCAAATTTTCCAGGAAACGAGAAGTAAACTCAACCTTCCCAGCGACATAGGCGAGCTTCTTAGAGACAATAATCATCTACACAATATTATAAAGTTTTTTAACACCTATAGGCATAAAAGATATTTAAATTAAAATCTAGTCTGTACTTATATTACATAATATATCAATCTTCTTCCACGTTAGTACGTAATTAATATATAACCTTTCTTTGTTCTAATATGTATTTAATTTTCCATTGTTGTCGTCTATAACTCCAGTGGTTCGGACGACATTAAATAAATCAATAAAAAAAATTAAGATTGTAAAACATCATTAATATGAGAGCTTACATACCCATAATCAAGCAGACCCTACATAAAAAGAAATTGAAAAGTCTATGAACTACAACTTTAAGACATACTTAAAAATTCCTTAAACCATCAAAAATAAAAAAAGTTGTA